CCGGCGGCTTCCCGGGGTCCTGGCCCGGCCCGCTGCCCGCGCGGGGAGGACGGCGCCCCGGCCGGACCCCGGCGGGCTGGGCTTTCCGTTCTCCCGGGCCGCGCAGTGCGTCCTCCGGCGAGCGCTCTACGCCCACCTGCCGGCTCTAGGAATGTTTGTTTATGCCTGAAATCGCGGCCGCGCGGGCCGAGGCTGTAGAGAAAATAATTCGCCTGTAAGACCCCGTTTCAGCCCAGGGGCTTTTTCGCCGCAGGCTGCGATGACTTAGCTCAGTGCGGTGTTCTGCTCCCCTTTCGGGAGTTCATCCCGGTGAGCGGTCGCGAAGTTGAAGGAAGTGGACATTCGAAGCGCCTGCAGCCGGGCCGTGCGGAGCACCGTGGCCCGTGGCTCGCAAGAGTACAAAGACGCGTTTCTGCGGTGCAGTGTAGCGTTTTCTTATCAATCCCTGTGCCATGTTTCAGGTTTAAACCTCCAGTCTAAAGTAGATTATAATTGCGTTTCTAAAGGAAATAGTTTTAAAAGCAAGCTTATAAATATTCATTAGAATTGAGGGCCAGTTTGTTTCTAGTTCGACCATGGCGTTCATCAGGATGGGAAATGTCAGTTGACAGTAAATATTAAAAACTGATTGTCCTTAATTTTCAGAACATTTCATCCTAGAATGTTGTGTATAATATTAAACATTCCTTCAAATTTTTGTAAAGAACGATGTTTGATCAACAGACAAGCTGTGCTTGCATGGTGTATGGAAACTGGATAGAACAGTTGATTGAATTGAGTCATTCAGCCAGACAATGGCTTTGTAAAGCTTGGAATAGTTACAGTTGTGTTTTATGAGTGTTGAGGAAAACTAGTTTTTGTTTGCTAGTCGTTAAAGTTTATTTTTATTAAGAGGAGAAAAATTAAAACATTCCACTATTAATGAACCCCACCCCCTTCAATTGAAGTGTTCAGCTGCACACTTCATTTTTAAGCCCTTTCCCCTTTGGCTCTTTAAAGTATAGATCTATAATACGAAGCCCAGATTGTTATTAAGGAGTCCATTGGGTACCAACTCCTACCTCCATCCCCAGGAAAAAAGATTCTGCCGCCAATTTTATAGCTGCAAATATAGTGTAGGATGGGGGGGTTGGTTTTTTGTATTTTCTCTGTGTGTAATGGGGATATCATCGATACTCCTTTATTTAAGGTTATTGAATAATTCTTAAAATAGTTTAAATGAATAATTCTTTATGAGAATTTAGAAGGGTTTGATTTTTAGATTCATTGCTTTGGTTCAGAAGGTACAATTCAGGTAATATAAAAGGAAGATTTTTTTGCCACTAGGTGTCACCATTAATTTAATTATGATCTTTTTATGGACTTGGCAGTCGAGACTGGTATGGGTGCTTTGTATACATTTTCATTTTAAGTAGCCATTTATTTTTATTTATTTTAAGTAGCTGTTGACACCTAATGAATTGTTTGCCAGCTAGCAAGGAACTTAAGTATATATATATATATATTTATATATATTGGTATCTGGTATATGTCATTTTTCTTCTGGTTCCTTTTTTATTTATTTTTTTTTATTTTTATTTTTATTTTTTTGGCGGAACCGGGGATTGAACTCAGGCCCTTGCGCTTGCCAGGGAAGCGCTTATTCCCCTGAGCCATCTCCCCGGCCCCGTGGTTCCTCTTTTATAAAAAAAAAAAAAAAAAAAAAAAAGGCTGGATATGCCTTAATATTATATGAAGAATAATATCAAGAATAGAATTAGTTTTTGTAAAGCTAAATGTCAGCTGTTTGATGGCTGATGTGTTCCTTTATTCATTATTTGCATGTCTTGTTCCTTCCCAGCTCACTTAACTGTCCTGTGGTACCTTAATCATAGTGCTGTCAGAGGACAGACACAGTCTGTGCACTTACTGTTCTGTACTTTCTTTAAAGGATGTGCTGTTAGTTGAAATTGCCATGGTAACAGTAAATTTTCAGTTACTTGTGCAGGTTAGTTAACAATAGACTTTGCCCCTTGTTACCATAAATAATTGAAATTTGATGCCCCAGTTCATGGGTTTCCAAAGGACTATAAATTAAATTGGATCTTCTACCATTAAATATTAATTCCAGTCCAAGCTGCCTGGTGAGACCCTGCACAAACCCCCCCTAAAAAAGAAATAAATATATATATTCCAAAACTTCACTTATAGCCTGGAAATTTTGGTTACACAGAAATACTCTTAAATATTTAATTACTGTAATATATATATTTAAAATTATTTGGCTAAACACAACTTTTAAAATAATCACGAGGCTGGTGAGATGGCTCAGTGGTCTAAAGCACCTACTTAGAACAAACTTAGCAAAGCAAAGGGACCGCGGTTCAATCCCCCATCACCACATGCCAGCCAGGGCCGCCCCCTGGTGGGCTGAGTTGGCCACACACACACACACACACACACACACAAATAAATGTAAAAAAAAATAATCACATGCTTTGATTTAATCACACACCAAAAAAAATGTGCTAATACAGCATTAGTACACATCCCAGCATAGGTTCATGAGAGACTTTGAAACAAGTGGCAAAGGGTAAGAAGGGAGGTCCTGCCCCAAAGAAGCAGAGCAGAACTCTTTGAACCTGTGACTTTGACTCATGAGCACAGTGTTTTTACTACTGAAAAGTCCAGAAGGTTGTTAAAAGATGCCTTGGAGAGAGACACTGCAGAGCTTTCCCCTGGTGACTCGAAAAGATCTCAGTACAGTAGAGGCTTTAGTGGTTCGGAACATTAATTTTACTGTAGTTAAAGTACAGATTTCTTGTTGCCTGGAATGCTCCTTTCTGGTCAGTGACAAAATATGTAAAAAAAAAACATGTTTTGTCCCGAGATACTTCTCTAGAGCATACTAGGTAGTTGTATCATCTGCCACCTGTTTATATCTCCTTTCACATCTTCATATGCTTTATATTCGAAGATTTCTTGGTTATAGAAAAATACAAAGGAAAATGAGAAAGTATTACTTTTGGTATTTCTTAGCATATATAAGGAGTTAAATTTTTCTGTCCCAGGAAAATTGTACACTTGTGAAAATTATTTAAGATTCTTAAGAACTTAACTCAGAAAACCCTAAAAAACATGGGTATACAGCACATGTTCCTTCAGCTGTCAGAACAGTATTACCATCACATGTTGACCTGTGCTTCTAGAAAACTGCATTGGATTCTTGGAAAGAACAAAGGAGAAGAGCAAGTAACTCCTTAGTATTTGGAGACTGATTTGGCCTTGCAGACTTCCTACAAGGGTCTTGGGAGCCCTGGGCTTCCCTGACCACATCGTGAGAACTACTGCTCTATATTTCTGTTTTACAATTGCTGAGGGTTGTTCCCCCCCCACCTGTTCACCATCTCTTCTTGCGATTGTTAATCTTTGTAACTGGTACTTAGCTACACATAAGAAAGTATAGTATCTTGGGTACATTTCCTTCCCTGGTAATTTCAGTCTCTCAAAGTGAAGGAATTTGTTTTGTAACCTTGTGCAGTGTCATCCAGAAGACAGTGTACGATCTCACTTTCTTGAGCACACTTAGGAAACACTGGAATAGCAGGTAGAGATGATAAATTATAGTGTTGAGGTTAATCAGGAGAGACCTTGGGATGAGTTTTATCAGTTCATTAAGGTAGAACATTCTTAGCAACAACAACAGAAGGACAGAAAGGCAATGAAAAAATTGGAGACAGTGACTTAGAGGGATTAAGATGAACTTGGATATGGAAGTGTAGAGTTTGAAATTTTCTAGGTCATTGGTCTGCCCCTCGGCTTGTCATTTCACAACTAGTCGAACATAAAAACTTGTAAATCTCCACGCTTGGAAACCTTTGGTAAGGAAACAGATAAGGGTTGACAAGTAAAACCTGTCTCATGATCATTTCTTAAGAGACAAGGTGTCATCTCTGTGCCCTCTGGTGCAGCTTGGGCCTGTGTGTTGAAGACTTGGTTCCCAGATGGAGGCTGTGAGGACTAATGGGAACTCCTGTGGCTGGGGGAGTGCCCTACAGAGGGTGGGGACGTCCCGGTCTCCTACCCTGCTCCTTTTCCATTCCCCTTGGAAGGTGAACAGCTTTGCTCCGATTCACACTTCCACCTGACGTACCAGCAAAGCAGCACTATGTCCATCCAATCTTGAATCATGGACTGGGACCTCCAAAGTCTAGCCAGAAAAATCCTTTATCTTTGTGAGTTGATTGCCTTGAGCAAACAGATTATCTCTGTTTAGTAACAGAAATCAGATAATCTTGAGCTACAAATTCTTGCAGTGTACGAAACTAGGATCAAAAGAGGTTTGATAGTTGTTTCTCCAGACTATCTGTTCCAATCTCTGAAGACTGAGTGGAACAGATACTAAGTTGTTTAATTTCCCAAACACCTGAGCACTTGCTCCACTTTCCCCTTAACCAGAAAATGCCTGTGCCTTCCACACAGCTCTAGTGCTGGTATCTCCTAGGACTGCAGAGGCAGTCCTAGGCAATCCAGGATACACAAAGTTGCATAATGAAGGATTAGAACATTCTGACCTGCAGGTGGCGGCAGGCTGTATGCATGTGTAGGTGTGGGAGATGATGAGTTAGAGCAACTGTCAGACTTGCTGAGCGCCAGTGAGGGCCGGAGATCACCACACACTGCTTGGCTTACACTGCAGCTGTTGCCTAGGTGCTTTTCATGTTGACTCTTGCGCTGTATTCCAGTTTGTCTTGGTGGCGTTTTTGTTTTTAGACAGCTTTAACCTATACCTGTCAGTTGAAAATGTCATAAGCTCTTACTGTTTCACTTCTTCCGTTGGGGTTCATCTATGTTGATTTCAGCTCTCTCCAGTGAAACTTCCAGAGCCATGCCCAACATTACAGTGCTTACAGAAATAACCAGCCAACATGTCCCAGAGAGAGAACTTTTGAAAGATAAGTGATCTTTTTCTTTTTAAAGTGTCATTACCATCAAATCTCCTTGCTTAAAACAGAATTTTACTCCTCTTCCCTATGCCCAACACTGGGTCAGTAGCAGTGTTGCCTGAAACCTAGCAGTCTTTGGCCTTTTTCTTCAAAGCCTAATTCACATCGTTAGTCCTGTGAGGTTTGTCTTGGCTTTACCTGAACTTTTATATTCTCACCCAGGCTTACATACCCAAATGCAGGGCTCTTCATACTCAATTTAGTTTCTAAGTGAGTAGTAACACTAGCTAGATTGAGTGTAGCCAGAGTTATACAATAAAATAATCTCTACTGAACCTTGAAAATTGTAGTGGTAATAATTAACCTTTTTTTTTTTTCAATGTAAAGTGATATTCCCAGCACTCTGGGAGACTAAGACAGGAGGATTGGAAGTTTAAGCCCAGCATGGGCAATTTAGCAATTTTGTAAGACTGTGCCTAAAAATAAAAAATAAAAAGGGATATAACTCATTGTAGGGGCTCTAGGTTCAACCCACACATACCGCCAGGTTATCTCAATTTTGCAATGATATTGTAGGCTGTCCAGAGACGAGTATTTTTCTTATAAGATTGTATTAGCGGGTGCTTTGGTTTTCCATTTCTCTTTTGTTTCAGTTGTGGACATTGAACCCAGGGCCTCTACGTGTTCCGCAAGTGTTGTGCCAATGAGCTACATCCCCATATCCAGTATTTTTTTTTCTTTAAAACAATAGTTTTAACAAAAAATAGTTTTCACAATACCCAGTTTTTACTCCCAGAGGCACAACTCCAAAGACACTTGGGTGAGTGCTGGTAATCTGTTGATTTCCTTTCTGTGAGCAACAGGAAGTTAACCCTCTTGTTCCTCTCATCTCACACATATAAGCACACTGCTCTTCCTTCCTCTATAACACAATCAAGGTCACCTACCCTCTAGCCCTGGTGTTTGTGACAATGTAGTTATTCAGAATTAGGGAACTGAAATATTTTGTTACAACAATAACTGTTGCTGATGTGTTTCACTCTCATTCTTTCACAAATGTACAGTGAACTCTGCTAGTTGCTTTCTCACATGATTGTGTCCACATACTGATAGCTAATGTAATATGTACTTCTAGGTTCTTGAGTTGTGTAGAAGTTCCTAAATTATGAAAACACTTCAAAAATTTAAAAGAGCCATACATGGTGGTGCAGAGCTTCCTGACACTCAGGAGGCTGGGGCAGGAAAATATCTTCGAGTTTGAGGTCAGCCTGGGCTACGTAGTGAGTTCAAGACTAGGCTGTACTACAGAGTGAGACCCTGCCTCCCAAAACAAAAATCTCAAAAATTTTAAATTAAAAAAATTTTTTAAAGTAATGCCATTCAACAAATATTTTGTTGAGATTTCTTTTTTTTTAATTTTATTTTAGGGAAGGGTCTGCAGGTTGTTCAGGGTGTTACTACTAGATCAGAGTCCAGAGTGCTAACCATTGCACAGTGGAACCCGCTGTCACTACTAGATCAGACTCCTAGTGATCCGCCTGTTTACAGCCTCCCAAGAGCTGGGAGCACCCCTGGGGGTGGGGCCAGCAGGGCAGTCCCAGGGATTGAATCCCCAGCCGCTGCACCTGCGTGCAGGCGCTTTAATCCACTGAGCTACTTGGCCGGCCGGAGAATTATTTTTATTACAATGTTTATTGGCTTTTTTTTCAGTGACAGTGAACAAATAATGACTAACTTCACATAAATGTGGCATCCTCTGAGGAAGTATCTTGAATCAATATTAGACTATTAAGAACTTAACATTAACAGTTTTGATTTTCCTATATATATTATCAAGAAAAAATAAGCTTGTATTAAGTGTTTGATCAACATTTTATTGCAACAAATATTTTTCAAACATTTGTGCTTGGGCATTATAAAATAGAAGCACGAAACAGCCCCTTACTGCCTTGGCTGGTCTTGAACATACAGTAGTCCTCCTTCCCTAGTCTCCTGAGTGTGTGATACCAGATGTGCTACTACACTGGCCACACACAGTGAGACTTACCTCTCTGTAGGAAGAACATTCAAGTCTGACTAAACAACTACTAAATTCTCATATATCAAAAAAAATATTGTGTACTACATTTAATTAAGAAACTGCTAGGACATATCAGAAGTGTAACAAATATGTAGAACAAAGTTTTCTTTGTTTTGTTTTAGGGAAGGGCCTACAGGGTGTTCAGGGCTTCACTACTAGATCAGACTCATAGTGATTCTCCTGTTTACAGCCTCCCAAGTGCTGAGATTACAGGCGTGTGCCACCACGCCCAGTCTCAGTCCCCATCTCAGTGCTCCCTGGGGGCGGAGCAGACACAGCAGGCCTGGGGATTGAACTCCTGCCCCTAATCTGCTGAGCTATTTGGCCATCCCCAAAATTTTCAAATTAGTGCTAAGAGAGACTTAATTTAACTGAGAATCTGGGGGCTTTCGGCTTAGCTCAGTTGTTTAAGCGCCTGTTCTGGGAAACCCAGTCAGGCGCAGGGGACCGCAGTTCGATCCCCAGCTCCATGTGCCTTACCAGACCCGTGCTTAAGGTAGCCTGAGCCAGCAAAAAAAAAAAATCCTTAACTGAGAATTTTGCCTAGCACTTTAGAGTCTGCCAAGAGATTTAACATGCATTGTTTCATTTAATCCTAATGATGGGTCTATAAGATACTCTGCATATAACTCGTGGCTGACTCAGGTTCTCAGCTCTAGCTGACAAGTACAGGAATGCAAATTAGCTGTTCTGACTTCAGATCTTTCATTTTACTATTAAAAAAAAAAAAAACATTTTTTGAGAACTCAAAATAGTTGCCTTTCAAAGATGTTATGAAGGATGTGACATTATCACTTAAGGTCTGTGGTCATCTTAAACCCTCCATAGTTAGCCTAAGTTACTAGAGGAAATTAGAATTTTCATTCTGATATCAATCATGCAAATTTTGTGAGAGATTAGACTCAAGTTTCATTACACATTTTGGCTGAAAGGGAATTTTTCCTTTTTTTTTTTTTCCCCAGAACCAGCGATTGAACTCAGGCCCTTGCCCTTGCCAGGCAAGCGCTTGTTTTACTGAGCTATCTCCCCGGCCCCTCCCTCTTCTTTAAAGCTTTTAAAAACACACAAATGTATTCCTTTACTGATCTTCAGAACTAGTCTCATACAAAACATTCAGCTAATGCCTAGAGTAAATGCTACTTCCTGGTCATGCATCGTATTCATCTGTCAATGAAATACTATAGTAATGACATGATTTAGAGCAGACAAGGGAACAATTCTGACATTTAAGCCTCAGAAGTATAAGTTTATTGTGAACAGCTTGGTTATTCATTTTTTGTTTTATAAAAATTGTCTCCCTTTTCCCCCATAGGTTTGTAAAAGAATGGACTTAGTTTGCCAGAGAATGTTGAATCAGGGGTTTCTGAAAGTGGAGAGGTACCATAACCTGTGTCAGAAGCAAGTGAAGGCACAGCTCCCAAGGTACGCCTAACTGCCGGTGGCACTCATGTAGTCGGGTATTGTTTGGCTTTTACACTGATAGTTAGTTTTTAAATCTCAGTTTTCACATTAAGTAGCTCCCACTTTTTGTGAGAAAGGACACGCAGATCAGCGTAAGTGATTTCTGCTGTCACTTGGTTTTCTTGGGCATTCTAGCCAGGGGAATGGGCAAGGAAGTGGAGTAAAAGGCACACAAGGGTAAGAAGATGCAGCAGTGCTCTGCTCTGGGTAACGGGTTCTTGTAGGCCAGAGATACACTAATGAGTTAGTAAAGTGAGTAAGTGAGGTACGAGATCAGTATATAAAAGTCAGTTGTATTTCTACACACTAGAAATAATCTGAAAATGAAATTTAGAAGGCAGTTCCATTTATAATAATGTCAAAAAAAAAAGGACTTAGTAAGAAATTCCAAGAGGATCTGCCCATCTCCCTGCACTTGATCCTGTCTGTGTTTAGAGTTAATAAAGGCCTTTCCCTTATTTATGCTGCTTTAAAAAAAAAAAGAAAGAAATTCCACAAAAGAAGCATGAGACTTGTATACCAAATACTGCTAAACATTGTTGAAAGAAACTAAAGTCTAAATAAATGGAAAGCTATTCCATGTTTGTGGATTGAAATTCTTCATGTTCAGGTTAAGGTAGCAATATTCCCCAAGTTGATGTACACACACGATGCAGTTCCTGTCAAAACCGTCTTTTTTACAGAACATGGCAGGCTGACCCTAAAATTCTGTGGAAATACAAGAGGGTCAAGAGTCTTGGGGAGCGGTAGTAATATTAGAGGACAAATGTTTCCTGGTTCCAAAATGTGTACTATAAAGCTGCAGTCCTCAGTGTGGTGAGACATAAGCATAGAAAGACAGGTTGAAGCAATACAATTGAGAGTCCAGAAAATAAACCCATATTTTTAGTGAGCTGATTTTTCACTAAGGATACCAAGACAGTCAAATGGGAGAAAGAAAATTATTTTCAGCGAATGATCCTAGTAAAACCAATTATCCGCATGTAAGAAAATGAAGTTGGATCCTGTAATAGGCCTAAGTGAAAATGTCAGCGCTATACTGCAGAAGCCTTAGAAAATGCCATAGTAGTAAATCTTCACAAAGGTAGATTGGGCAGTGCTTTGTTATATATGATGACAGCATAAATGAAGGGAAAAAGGTTTGGGCAACTTGGTATCGTCAAAATTTAAAACTTTGTAGCTCTAAGGAATCCATGAGAAAGTGAAGGTTGGGAATGTAGCTCAGTTGTAGAGACCTCCCTTGACATATGCAAGGCCCTGGGTTTAGTCCCCAGTATTGGGGGGCAAGAAAGTGCCAAGGCAACCCATAGAAAGGGGAAATCATGTTGAGGTTATGTTTCAGATCAGGAGTATGCATCACATCCAGGGTATGTGAGGAGCTCTTAGAACTCGAGCAGAAGTGGCAGAGGCTTCAGGAGACATTTCTCCAGTGAGATATCCTGGGGTGCAGTAAGCATGTGGAAGACAACCAGCATATGTCTTGCCAAGGAAGTGTGAATGAAAGGTACTGTCGGAGCAGTGTGACTGTCCTCTGAAAGTTAAAGCTGCTGTGTTCACAGCTGTGTGCTTACAAGAAATTGGAGCAGGAGTGTAGGGATCTGTTGGTCTCTCATTGTGATCTGTTGTACCTGGGAGGCAGGAGTGAAGAAAAGATAGCCAAGAGCCAGGCTATGTAGTGGCTCCTGTGTCTGGTTGGTGAGCCAACCACCCAAACAATAATAAGGGCCTTTATTTATATCTTTATAAAGTTACAAGTGACTAATAGGCCACAATGTCCAGGCAGGATGTTTTTCTCAAGACTGGTATAGCTTTAACTGCTTTAGACAATGAGGCCTCGTCCTGCCCTCCCACAGATGATTAATTTTAGCTTTAGCAGCTCCCAGCACAGGTGTATACATACACAAGACTATGGGTTTGATCTGGGTGCAACCAAAAAGGCAAATGAAACCAAAGAATCCAACAGCAAAAATGGTGAGCAATTGATATATCCATCAGCCAATAAATGAAGTGATATTTCCATGGAGCGGAATGTTGCTCAGCCATGAAAACATAAACGTTGGAACGCGAGTAAGCCATGAGAACTATGCAAAATGAAAGAAGCCCAACAGAAAGTTACATAGCATAGAATTCCATTTATAGGAAATGCTCAGAGTAAGCAAATCTGGGAAACAGAAAGTAGATTAGAGACTGGCAGAGACGGAGTGGCCGGGTGATGAGAATGTTGTGTTAGATAAGCAAGAGCAATTACACAGCTGGACATGCTGACAGTCCATAGCACACTCTGCTTGTCTGAGTAAAACTGTTGGTAAGTGTTATGAGCAAAAACATAGTGTCTTGGCCGTGTTTATGTGTAATACTGCCCTTGGACTTTATACAGCCCCCCCCCCCGAAAGAACAAGTGCAATTTTTTTATAGAGCTGATTGTCAAATCCAGGTCCATTGTATGCTAAGCATACACTATAGCATGAAACCGAACCTCTGCCCTACCACCTTTTCAAAATAAAGTGGTTTTTAGTTTTTAGATATTTTGTCAGTGAATATTGGTCCTTTGAAGAATTTCTGTGCATAGTGGTTCAATCATCAATCATAGTTATGACCTTACTGGAGATTTCTAAATTCACACATCAGTGTTAGATTGTTTTAGTACAGCATTTTGATTGCTGAACATTTTAATCTACCGTACTGCCTTAGTGGATGCTATTTATTTTTATAATTTTAGGAGAGAATCCGAAAGGAGAAACCATTCTTTAGCTCGTCATGCAGACATCCTTGCTGCTGTGGAAACAAGGCTGTCACTGTTAAATATGACTTTTATGAAGTATGTGGATTCCAATCTCTGTTGCTTCATCCCAGGAAAGGTAAAGTAGTACTGTTTACCCAGAACAAGTGTGTTATCCTATGTCAACTGTAATTGTTGAAAACTTACAAAGTGGTTTTTTAAAATTTTTTCTTTATTTAATACAGGGTCAACAAGGTCTCACTACACAGATCAGACTCGTAGTGACCCTCCTGTTTTCAGCCTCCTAAGTGCTGGGATTACAGGTGCATGCCACTAAGCCTGGTCTCGTTTGCTTCTCAGCATATCCCAGGAGGGGGCCAGCATGGCACCGGGGACCAAATGGTTTTTGAGAAGTCAGAATTGCTCCTACTTCTGTGAATTGTTCTATTTTAGCTTCTGTATAGTTATCAGTATAAGTATGTATCATATATGTGGTTTTTCAATATACATTGGAAATGCTAATTCTTATAGTAGAAACTGATACTCTACAGAGAAGCTTGTTAAGAGTTCAGATTTAAGTGCTGATCTGTAGCTAATATTCCAGAGATACTGCAGTGGATAAGATAGGATTGTACTGCCTCTGAGAGTGGTACACTGTCGGGTAGGAGTAGGAGAAGAACATGGGTTTTTGTTTTGTTTTTCAATGTGGGGGGGCCAGCTCAGCCCACCAGGGGGCGGGGCAGGCTGGCATGTGGTGCTGGGGATTGAACCGCGGTCCCTGTGCTTTGCCAAGCTTGTTCTAAGTAGGTGCTCTAGACCACTGAGCCATCTTGCCAGCCCCATGGTTTTTGTTTTTCTTGAGAAATGTGTCCTGATGCCAGCCTTACAAACATCCAGATTACTTGTTGCAACAGCAGTTTATGTACACATATTTATAGCTGTGCTATAAACTGAAATGTATTTGTTTCCACAATAATTATATAGCAAAATACTCTGAGCTAAAGGTATGTGGCATGTTTGCTAAAAATTTAAGCATTTCACGTGGGTTAACATTCCAGATTTTATTTTTATGTATTTATTTTTATTATCTTTTTGAGACAGGGTCTCACTATGCAGTTTAGGCTGGCCTTGAGCACATGTTGTAGCACAGACTGGCCTCGAACCTACAACAGTCCTCCTGCCTCAGCCTCCCAAATGCTGGAATTACAGGTGTGTGCGTGGCACCATGCCTAGCTAATTCCACTTTTTTTTTTTTTTTTTTTATGGAACCGGGAATTAAACTCAGGCCCTTGCACTTGCCAGGGAAGCACTTATTCCACTGAGCCATCTCCCCTGCCTAATTCCACTTTTTTAAAAAAAGAATTTTATTACATGTCTGCAGTACATAATGATTACTTTCATCATGAGGAATTATAACTTATACGTAGAGAATTCTGTTTAAAGTGTAAATGCAGATGAGGTGCAGAACCAGTGGGTAGACGTGAAGATTATTTTACTGTTTGATCAGATGGTGCTAAAAGGCTCCCTTTACGTGGTTGGAACTAATTAATACCTAGCAATGCAAAAACTCTCTTATTTTTATAGGTAATTGACATTAGTAGTGTAATATATGTGTAGTTTCCATGTTCAGTTTCTATGACATTATTTTGGGAGACAGTCTTACTACAATTGGATTTGAGTATCCCTTGATATGTCACTTGTCTGCAAGTGCTTTTGTAGAACCTGTAAAATGGTGACTGACTAAAAAACTGTAGATACTGACTGTTGCCAGATTTTAGGCAAGAGATTTCCAGGTCTTAACTCTTAGGTGTTGGTTCACTCTTAGGTGTTCTTTGAACTAGTACTGGCTATATTCTCTAGCTTCAGAGGTGTTACTAAAGGAAGTGAATACTTAAGAACCATTGAATAACTAACTGTAGAGAGGTCTGTCTGCAGTGCCTGGCACCTGGCTCTCAAGGAAGAGCTGGCCCGCGTTGGTTCTCAAGCACCCAGCGTTCACAGCCGCCTCAGAGTCTTTGTGTCTGAGAAGTGAGGTAGTCCAGGGGACTCCTGCTGTTGTGGAAACCCCTGGCTGGTTCTTCCTTTTGGAATTAGTCCCCAAGCTCCAGGCTCCAGCTGCAGTGATCCTCTGCAGCTTGCACTGGGAGCCTTCGCTGGTCCTGGTAGGTCAGCAGCTGGGAGGGCTGGCTCCAGCCTCTGCATCACGGCATGAGCCGTCTCTGTCCTTTGTGCCGTGCTGGCTGCATCTTAGTTTGTGAGTAGCTTTCATTTGTGTGATCTCATTTATAGCTGTGCACAGTGAGTGGAAAAAAGGTTCCCTTCTCTCCTTTACTGATTAGAAAGTAGATTCCCAGAAGAGAGGTTGATTCATTTGATGAAAACTACTCCAGACTTCTGATTTCACTGTTATTTTCCTGTCTTTCTCATTTCTTTACTAATACCCATTTCTTTCTTTCTTTAAATATCCATCTCTTTTTTTTTTTTTTTAAATACCCATTTCTTGACAAGAATTTGTCCTAATTTTTTTCCCTGCATACCTGTACTTTACTGGAAATAATAAAAATAATAGTAGTTTGTTCAGCGTGGGGGTTTTGTTTTTTATTTATTTATTTTATTTTTTGGCGGAACGGGGGGTTGAACTCAGGCCCTTGGCGCTTGCCAAGCAAGCACTTATTCTACTGAGCCATCTCCCTGGCCCCTGGTTTTGTTCTGTTTTTTAATACCTTCTTTATGCTCATATTTCCTAAAATGATTGTGTATGTACTCAGAGTTTTTACTTTTCTTGGCAAATCAGACCTTGTGCTTGCCAGGCAAGCACTTATTCTACTGAGGTATTGTCCCTAGCCCTGAATAGTTTGCTTTTTGGTGATCAGTCCAAGAGACCAAATCCCATATTCTCATCTGACTCCTCTGACTTTCTTGGTTCCTGCCTTGGCCGGGGCAGCTGCAGCAGCAGGAGCAGCAGTGGTGGCTGCGGTGATGGGCAGCAGCCACAAATGCAGATGGATCATCCAAGAAGGCCTTGCAACTTTCAGCAAGTGGGAAGGTATAATCAGTCTCCACAGACAAAGCCAGGACCTACTTGTATACACTGATGATAGAATGGGGCACTGATGCAGCAGTTGGGTATCCAGTCTGCAGACAAACACTGGCAACATCGCAGACACCCTCCAGAAAGCGGGATTGCAGTTTCCTCTGTAACGTCAAGCACTCTTGGGTTGTAGATGATTCCGTTCTCAAACACTTACTGAATGATCAGCCCAAAGGAGAATGGGAGATGTTCAACATGTTTAGGAGGGTCATCTCACTGGCTCACACTTTGTCTCCAGTCTTTTTTTTTTTTTTTTTTTTTTTTTTGCGGTGCCAGGAATTGGACTCAGGTCCTCAGGACAAGCACTTATTCCACTGAGCTATCTCCCCAACCCCTTTGTCTTCAGTCTTAATCAGCTATATATCACTCAGGACTTCAATGGTGCCCCTGGAGATTTTAGTGGTGATGCCCAGAACCTGGAAGGAGGAGGTCTTTTCGAACCCCAGACCAGTGTTCTGGGCTAGCACAGTGACTTCACATGGTGCAGTGGCACCTGCACGGGCAGCGGTAGGTACCTTATGGGCAGCAGCATATCCCTGATCTCAGTGAGGTCCTCCTTGGTGAACACAAAGCTCACATTCCCCCAAATAGAGAGGCAACAGTTTCTCCAGGCCGTCCCTCAGATGGCCTAGTGCAGCATGGAGTTCTTGCCCATCAGCACCACAGTCTTCCCTTGGAGGGTCGTTTGGATCTGCTGCGTCTGCTTGGAGCCCACGTTGTCAGCTCCCACAGTGAAGCATTTTGGATAACCATCCAACTTTTGGATGATCTTAAGGGGGTAGTTGGATTTCCAGGTTGTCCTGTCTTGGGCATCACTCAGTGCATCAGGGATTGCCACATGGGGTTTAAAGATGGTGTCACTCGCATGATGATGCCTGGAAAGAGCTTACTTTTCATTTTATTTTGCTTTTTTTTTTTTTTTATTAGGTAAAATTTCTAACTTACCAAGAATTTGTAGTATATAAGCACGTGCACCTAACCTTCAGATACTGAAGTGAGGGCACTGTGCCAGTCCATTGCTGCTGTAGATGCCTCAGGTACTTCACTTCTAAGGAGAAGGAATTTGGATTGCTTACTGTCGTAGGTTTTGGGCCCTGGTCACTTGGCCCAGTGGCTGTGAGCCTGTTGCAGCATAGTGTATTGTGGCCAGGGTGGAACACATAGCAGAGGTGTTGGGCTCCTGGTCGCAGCGGGGAAGTGGAGAGACAGCCCCTCCACGGGCATGAGGCCATTGAGCTTCCTTCCCATAGGCCCTCCCTTCCCACAGCAGTTCTGAGGAGCAAGACTAACTACAGGGCCCTTTGGGGGACATTCCGGAACCAGGTAGCAGCAAATGCTGTGTAAAACTATTGTTTCCCTGTGTAATATACAATTTTTAAAAATAAGTCCCTTGTAGAGACACAGAATAAAAATAATCTAGAAAGGACAGGGAGTAGGGGTAAATGTTTTTTTTTTTTTTTTTTTGCAGAACCGGGGATTGAACTCAGATCCTTGTGTTTGCCAGTCAAGCACTTATCCTACTGAGCCACCTCCCCGGCCCCTGGGGTAAATGTTTTTAAAAAGAGAAAAAAGGAACAGGAGAGATGTCAAGAGAACATGGCCTCGCAGGCCTCTCTTTGGTCTCTCCAAAGTTCTTGTTCTCCTTCACTGAGACAGCTTCTAGCGTTTCAGGTACTTCCTCAGCATTAGCATCTCTGCGTCGTTGCCTGGGCTCGTCCCTGCTGAGCTCGGGCTCCAGCAGGTGGCTGCTCCTCCTGCTGGAAGGTTCTGTGGTGTGTCATCCCCGCTGCAGCCCCCACCATCTGCACCCAAGGAGCACAGCTGAAAGAGATACACGGTCATTTGAAAGGATACCATCTTTGATTCTTTTTTCGGGGGAGACATGGTCTCACCATGGCCTTGAACCCTTATAGCCTGGGGTAGCCTGGAATTCAGTGATCTTCCTGCCTTAGCTTCCTGAGTGCTGGATTTATAGGCGTGGCCACCTTTGATTCTTAAATATTTCAGTATATTTCTTAAGAACTTTAATGTTTACTTAATAGTAGTCC